CCCTCCCCCTCTCTCTAAAAGTAAATAAATAAAATCTAAAACAACAACAACAATAACACACCAGTGCAGGCTGATCGGCTGTCCTTCCAAACCCTGGAGGCGGGGTGGGGGGGGCCAATGTGTAGCCTCCACTGCAGCTGGGGCCTCCTTGTATGCCTTTTACTCAACTGGAGCCGGGTATCCTGCAGGCCCATCCAGGTTGAGGTGGGTGCTTTTTATTGCCCCATACTCTGCAGCTTCGTCATGGAGGTCTTCTCTGGCTGGCTTCCTCCTGGGCTGCAGCGACAAAGAGCACCCAGCTCCAGCAGAGCGTGGTGGACCGGGTTCACCTCCATCCTGCTCCGTGCTGCCATAACCCTCACACATCCACGCTCGAAGCTGCAGCCCTTCCGTTCCTCCGCTTCCTTCAGTTTGTGGGTGCTCTTGTCCCCCTCCTCATCCGTGGGGAAATCCTCACCCTGGCCTCGTAAAGATCCAGCATGTCCGCCATCTTGCCTTTGTTGTCAGGAGTTGATTTTTTTCCCCTCATCAACTTTATACCAAAATGACGATGAATGAAACAACGTTATTCAGGACCTGCTGTGCGTTTTTATTCTTTCATTCAATTCTGGCTCACTCACCTCCTCATGCACTCATCGCTTGTTCACGCAACAAATCCTTTTCACTATAAAGGCCATGGATGGATCCCGGGTGCTGCCTCTTTTCTCAGTTGGCCCAGTTCTGGCTGTGACCCAGAATTCTGGGACTGCAGGGCTGCGGCCCTTGGACAGTGGCTGCCTCGTTTTGCTGATGAGAAGGTCATTTTGCAGATAATAAGGTCAAGGCCATACTGCAGAGAAACCCCACCTTGGGCTCGCAGCCAGAATAGGAGGAGGCCGGAGAAAAAGACTGTGGAAGCAAGCCGAGGCCGCTGGAGGGGGGCCTGTGTGGCACGAAACCTGCTCTCAGCCTGGGGTCTGAAGGTCAGGGGTCCAGCCCCGGCGGCTCACTGCTTCTGCCCAAAGTCTCACGCGCTGGGAGTCTCCACCGGATATCTTGTGAGTGCCTCAAACTCACATGCAAACCCAGCTCTCTACCCACCTGCATTTGCCGCCTGTTCCACACCTGCCCCACCCACCCCATCTCCGCGTGGCTCCACTGCCTCCCCAGCTGCAAACACTGGAGGCCCGGGCATCTCCCTCCCCCGCCGCCCCCACTGGGCAACTACCGAGTCCTGTCCTCTGTAACCTCCCAGGTTGCTTGTGTCCCCTGCCTCTCCCCAGGGCTGCTGTCCCACTGCATGCAGCTCGGCCCCTGTGCGGCTGGACCACTCTAGACAAGCACCTCAGACTCTCTGTGAGCCGGTCTCCACTGTCTGTCTCTACCCACACCTGCCTCGGGCCCCTGGAGGAATCGGGGCTGGACAAAGCCCCTAGAGGTGAGAGTCTGCAGGCTGAGTCCCCTCCCAGCTCCACTGCAAGGCAGCCGTGCAGATGGCTGCATGGCTATATGACTGACTTCCAAAGTCACAGACAGCTGATAATAATGGCCTTCACTCCCTAATCACACCCTATGGCCAGGTGCTGTGCTAATACTTGACCAATAGAACAAACCTGAGGCAGGTGCTATCCCCACTTCACAGAGGAGGCGAGTGGGAAGCTACACAGCTTGGCCCCTGGTTACACAGCTAGTATGTGGGATTCCACCCAGGTCTGACCAAGCCCCAGCCTGCACACTGCTACACTGCCTTCTCCTGCTGGTGCGGGAACTCCAGGTAACTGACAAAACCCTCACCCTGTTATGCATGGGGGATTCTGAACCTTCTTCCTCCACTCGGGCAGCAAGAATAAAAGCCCGGCGAGCTGGCTGCAGCTGCTGAATGCCCTGCATTCCTCAAGCAGTGAGTGCCAGGCAGAGCCCAGCCGTGCCTGTCCCCTCACAAGGGCTGCTGGGGCCCAGCACTGCCACTGGACCTGAACCAAGCCATGGGAAATGGCCCCACACTGGGCACACACACGCCGCCTGTGACCCCGGGCTCCTGAAACTGCCTGTTGCCCAACAAGGCAAGAAGGGTGCCGAGACGCTGTGTCAGACGCAGCACGCCTTGACCCGGCATAATTTTCACAACGGGGACAGGAGACTGGGGCTGCTCAGGTGGGTCTGAACTCCTGTGAGCCACCACTGCCAAATGCCAGGACGGGCAGTGGGGACAGCAAGCAGAAGAGATGGCACTGGAGAGGCTGCTCTTGAGGAGGCCAGGGAACCGGGCAGTGAGGCCCTGCGGCAGGCAGGGGCACGGGGACCTGGCTGGCACTGGCCTGGCAATCAAAACCATTGGCAGGAGCCCTACTCTGCACTCAGGAGGACCCGGCAGGGTTACAAAGAAGTGCTGGGGAAGCTACCAAGGGCACTGGGAATGTTTGGACTAATTGCTTATTCACAGAGAGGATGCTGGTGTTTTTCCTTCCTTTGGGGGGCGGGGCGGGGCTGAGCTGTAGGCTGGTGTCAGGGAGACAGCACAGGCTTCCTAACTGCACTGACCCCATTCGATCCTGGCTCCTCCTTGGCTCTGGGAACTGGGACAGGTCTCTAACCTCCCTGGTCGGAACGGCATCCCATCTCAGTCAGACTCAGTCGCAGTCCTTACAGCCGTCCACCGGGCCCTACATGCATGGCGGGAGCTCCCCCAGTCTCTGCCCCTCCTCCCCCTCCCCCTTTACTCACTCTGCTCCAACTGACCTCTTCACTACACCCCTCCGCACACGAACGGGCCTCTGCCCTTGACTCCCCGGGAACACGCAACATTGCTTCTGCGCCCACGTCAGGTCTCTGCCCAGAGGACACCCACCGGCGTGCTGTTCTCGGGCTGCCCCCCTCGAAACGACACCTCCTACCCTTGACCTCTCTCCGTAACATGGGTCTCCGTCCCACGTACAGGATGCGGTTTATCAGCCGTCTCCACCCATTAACATTCAAACCCGTGAGGACAAGGGCTTTTTCAATTAATTTTTGTTGTCATTTTAGGGGTTTTGTCTTTGATGTTCGTCCATTTCCCCCTCGCCTAGCAGCGCCTGGCAGGCCTGCTTGGAGACGAAGGGTCGGCCTCTGCACAAAGCCCTACACGGAGCCTGACACCCAGCGGACGCTGTGTCCGAGTCCCGGGCTGCCGTGACAAACTGCCGTGACCTTGTCCTCACAAGGTCCCCTGGAGGCCAACGGCCCCAAATCAGGGTGTCAGCTCCAGGGGAGGGCCGTCCTCGCCTCTCCCAGCCTCTGGCAGGCCCAGGGTGTGGAAGTTCAGCCTCCGACTCTGTCTTTGTGTGGCCGCCTCCACGTGTCTCTTACAATGACACTTGTCACTGGATTTCGGGGACCGTCATTCAACCCATCACAGCACTAGACGGTAACTCCTGCACAGATGGGGAGGTTCAGAACACCTTGTGAAGCCTAATTGCGAGGGAGGAGCAGGAACTGCGCAAGCACTGTAGCCCGGGCATCGCTCCAGGCACTCGAATGCCATGTCACGGACCCCTCCCAGCTACCCTGTAGGGCAGAGTCCACACCCTCCTTTTGTATACAAGGAGTGGGGCTGGCAGGCGCAGTGATACGCTAGCGGGCACTTCCACCCCGAAGCCGCACTGGCGCCCACCTCAGGGGACAGACGCAGCGCCAACCCCCAGGATACGGGATGCCCCTTCGCCCAGCTCCTGCCACTGCCTACAGTCGGGCTCGCGGGGACAAGCGCCCGGGGCGGGCCCAGCCCTGGAGGGCAGCGGGCACTAGCTAAGGCCCCCCGGGCGTACCACACATCAGTGGGTGACAGGGCACCTGCACACCCATTACATCTCACAACCTGGGGACACAGATTTCAGGACCAGACAAGGCCACCAGACCAGAGAGGTCACAGAGCAAATCCGAGACACAGTTCAGACTTGAAGCTGGGTGGCATGCCTTCAAGTCAGCAGTTCTTTCCCTGCTCTCCAGCTCCCTTCCCGCCGGGACACTCAGGGGACCGAGCACACACCAGGCAAGCACAAAGCCTCGCTCGGGAAGTCCCAGCAGCACCGGCTCCGGGAGGCAGGGACGGCCTCACCAGCCGTGTCCTTCCAAGTCACAGGAAACGCCTCTTCTCTCAGGGCTGATATGCACCCATTTGTGTGGGTTACCTGTTGCTCTTTCCCCGATTGTGCCAGTCTTCCATGGCACTTTCTAAACTAACACCACAAGTTTGGGTAACAAGAAACCCGTCACCACTACCTACTACCTTGACCTTGGACGGACAAGCTATGTAACTACTCCAGGCCTCACCTCCCTCAGTAAGGTAAGGGTGCCGAGCCGCCCATCGTCCGAGTCGGAGGGTGCGCAGACTGTCCAGCTCCGAGCACGTCCTCTTTGCTGAGCCAGTCGGCGACATGTTTCTAACGGTCGTGGATCAGCATGATCTGTGCTTTGCCAGAAAAGCTTAGAAATCGGCTCTGACAGCAAACAGTGCGGGCTGCGAGGTTTTGAGGGGCAGAAGATGCCATCTCCGGGAAGTCCCCAGGACGGAAGGTCCCTCAGGGCGCTGCAGGGAGGGAAGGCAGCCAGAGTGGGGACTGGCTGTGAAGGTGACGGCGGGCGGGCCGGGGGGCCGAAGCCAGGGAGGGCGCAAGAGGCTGCCCACGGGGAGAGAGTCGGCAGACCCGGCCAGCAGAAGATGGTAGAAAAATGTGGTCGTGTGGAGCCAACTCTTGGCTTCTACAGAACTGTGTGACCTCGACCGAGTCCCACAACCCCCGAGTCCGTCTCCTCGTGGCACAGAGGGGCACACTGCAGCTGAACCCAAGTGCGGGCCGCGGCAGGTCGTCCGGTGCGCGTGTCCTGTGGCCTGTGCGGCTCTCTGTGTGAACACAGGGTCGGGTGATTCCCTGCCGGCCCCAGCAGCCGCCGCGCCGGGAGAAAGCATCGCACGCACGGGATGGGACCTACCGCCGCCCTCACCCGCAGGCGCTCCCCAGCAATAACGAGATGACAAGTCTGGCTCCAAAGAAGACCCTTTACTGAGACTCATCTCACACATTTCAGTCTTTGACACGAACAAACTTCAACCGGGCCCCCAGGCTGACGGCCGAGCCACGTAAGGGCCTCCCCGCCAACGATGACATCGACCCGGGCTCCCACTAATGCAGGCGCGAGTGACTCAGGGTCTCTGCCCCATCTTCTTCAGCGTTCGGTTGAGCTGGAAGGGAAAGAAAAGCGCAGTCACACGGGGAGCTCAAACACCAAACCTGTCCCACAGCGTGAGCGCGCCAGCCCCCTGCAGTCAGGCAGGGAGGGGGTCTCTGATGGGAGCGTGGGCGGGCCCTCCATCGGGCACTCAGAGGGCCTCTCAGGGTCCTTGCACACTGCTCGTACCCCCGCACTGCCCGGCCCACTGTAGACAGGGGAGGGGATTCAGGGCAGCCAGGCTTGCGAGAGCGGGGCTACAACCCTCAGGAGGAGCCTGGTGGCGAGGACCGCAGCACGGCAGTGACCTCTGCTGGAGGACTCCAGCTACGGCCACAGAGAGACCCAGTGCCCCATAGTGCTGGCCTGACCCCGGAGACCTCTTGTGAGGCAAGACACGGGACACGCCAAGTCTGTCGAAACAGGGCTGCTCCCTGCGCTCCGCCTGCAGGAGCTGGCCAGACCTGTCTGAGCTGCGGGGTGACCGCCAAGCGGGAGGGACGGGCGAGAGCAGGCAGCGAATCCGCCCATATTAGGAAACAGCGGGGAGGGAGAAGGCCCGCTGGCCACCCAGAGGGAGGTCTTGGAAAGAGACACTCCTGAGAAGGCTGACACAGCAGCTCCTGAGGGCCCAGCCCAGCTCCCAAACCCCAAGCAGCCAGCCAGTCCAGCTCAGAAATGTAAAGGGTCAATTTTGGGCTTTCTTTCCTTTTTTTTTTTAAGACTTTATTTATTTTTAGAGAGGGGGGGAAGGGAAGGAGAAAGAGAGGGAGAGAAACATCAATGTGTGGCTGTCTCTCACGTGCCCCCCACCGGGGACCTGGCCCGTAACCCAGGCCTGTGCCCTGACTGGGAATCAAACCAGCGACCCTTTGGTTTGTAGCCCAGCAGTCAATCCACTGAGCCACCCAGCCCGGGCAAGTTTGGACTCCCTTAAAAATAAAAATGAAAACTCCTCACCCAGTCCCCGACCGCTGTCCCCAGCTCCCCCAGCCCCCCCGACCTCTCACCTCCTCGAATTTGTGGATCTGCCGGATGAAAAAATCCCCGTAGCGCCTGGCGACTTTGGTGTCTGCGATGTGGATCATGTCCTGTGGGGAGAGCACAGTCAGGCAGATGACGGCGGGGGGCGGGGGGAGGGGGAGCCGCTCACGGGCTCGCAGGCCGCCGTGCCGCTCACCGCTGCCCAGAGCGCGCCTTCTTTCCGGACGACTGACTCTATCTTCTTCTTGCTAACTCACCACTATTTCCCAGCCTTTTTCAGCGAACGTGAAATCTTGTGGCAATAAGGACATTTAAAACAGCACTTTATTCTCACACACAGACTGCCAATCAGGCCAGATTTTACGTTTTGCTCTTTAGCTCAGAATATTTTGTTGAACACCATTTTACTTGTAAACTCCTACACAATCCCAGTTAAGACCCAAGGACTTTCTGAATCAGTGACAGGATTTCTTCAAGTCAGGGATGAAAAAAACAAACACCTTACCCCCACCTCAACGAAGCAAGCAGCATTTTGCCAAAAATAAATCTGAACCAGGAGGCGGAACAATAATAAAAACAAGACATGCAACTAAACCTTTTTCATGCAGGGACTCTGAATCGTATTACTATGGTCAATGAAACCTAAATATAACTTCATAGCCAAGTTTCATTCATTGTAATCAAGTTGCTAATTCTTGGGTATCTGGCGCCAGGTCACCCGCTCGCTGGGACGCGGGGAGTAGCAGGCTCTGCTGTCACCGAAGAGCGTGTGCACGTAGCCGCTGGGGATACGCGGAGAGAGCTGTAGGGGGTTGGTGTCGTACCCCGGGGGACAGACTGTCTGACTTTAAAAGCGCGATTTACAACACGGGCAAACTCCCACTGCGGACGAGTTTCTTCTCTTGTTGAGACCGTTCACATCACGGACAGCTAGCAGACACCACGTCTCCCAACAGCCATCACGTCTGAGCGGGAGGGCCAGGTCTGACGGGGCAGCTTCCAGAGCAGACGCCCCAAACCGCCCCGGCACCCAGGTGTACGCCCGAGAGCGTGTTCACACAGAAACGTGTGTGCGAGTGCTCACAGCAGCACCACCCACAAGAGCCCGTGGGCCCCGCGGCCATGAACAGGACTCGGGCACCGACACGCCGCAGCCCCACGGAACGTGCAGATGTGCCCCGTGAAGGGAGTCAAGTGCAACGGTCACACGCTTCATGATCCATTTACATGGACTGTCAGGAGCAGACAGCCCAGAGACGGAAAGCAGATCACTGGTCTGCAGAGATTGGGGGGAGGGGAACCGGGAATGCCCGCTAATGGGCAGGGAGTTCCCTCTGGGGGTGACGGGAGTGTCGTGGAGTTGGGTACCGGAGACAGCTACACAACACCGTGGACACACTAACGGTCATCTGAAAAACTCTCCGAAAAAAGTTATGATGTCTACATCATCACACTTCCTGAAAACAACCACAAATGTAGGATAAGTTAGTTTTTAAATCTCCCTATAGCCTCAAAGAACTGAAAAGGGAATGAAGAACTATTTGAGAGAAAACAGAAGCTGTTCCAAGCAAGCACAGAAGCCCCATCTGTGCTGAAACCCTAGAAACTTGGGACAGCAGGCTCAGACCAAGGCCAGGGCCATTCTCGACAGAAGACCCTCCTCATAACGCTGGGATCCTACAGGGCTCCATCCTCAAGTTCAAAGAAAACCAGAAGACACTTGCCATCCCACCCCTGACACCAAGCGATGCTTGCCAAGTGTGGGGAGCGGAATAAAAGAAAAAAAAAAAGACCCACCCCTGAGACGTGACAAATGCAGGGCGACTCTTCTGACAGTCTGTAGCCTGGGCTTGTCTCCGGGCTGGTCCAGGGGCCGCAGGCTGTGAGCGAAGCCCCTGGCGGCCCCACACCAATGGCACTGCCAGGGCCTTCAAGAGGCAAAAGCAAATGCCCCCAGAGAAGGGAGTATTCTCCCGAGTCTTCAAAGAATGCCAACACACCGTGTTTCATTGACAATGAACCTTCCACAGTAAGAAATAACCAGGCACGTAAGGACTCACTGCACCATGAGTAGAGAAAGTGTTAGAGAAAGAAATGGAGCTGAAGAGATTAGTTAGGGATACAGTGACCGATCAAAGGAAAATTATCCAGAACAAAGGAAAGAAAAAGATGGAAAACGGGTTTCAGAGACATAAAGAGCAGAGTGAGGTCTACACACAGTAAATACAACCTCCAGAAGGAGAAGAGAGCACAGACAATAGGGAGGAAATATTAGCCACAGATAATGTAGAACAGATGATACCAGTCCACTGCCTTTAACACACTGTTATTAGTCCTCATCAGGGCTCCTAGTATGTCTAAGCAGAGTATTTTCTTTACTTATGAGCATAGGCATTGGGTTGGCCAAGAAGTTCCTTTGGTTTTTCTCCGTGTGATGGCTCTAGCAGAGCTCAGCTGTCTTTAATTTCATTCAAAACAATTTTGTTCTGTTCTAGTTGTTTGCTTAGTTTGTTTTTGTTCATATTCTTTACAGTCAGTTGTTGATAGTTTCTGAGTTTGTTGTGATTTTACTGTTTATAGTTTTGATCAACTTCTTTTTCTTAGGTAAGTCCTTTTAACATTTTATATAAGGGCTTGGTGATGATGAACTCCTTTACCTTGACCTTAACTGAGAAGCACTTTGTCTGCCCCTCTATTCTAAATGAAAGCTTTGCTGGATAGAGCAATCTTGGATGGCGGTCCTTGCCTTTCATGACTTTGAATACTTCCTTCCAGCCCCTTCTTGCCTGTAAAGTTTCTTTTGAGAAATCAGCTGACAGTCTGATGGGAACTCCTTTGTAGGTAACTGTCTCCTTTTCTCTTGTTGCTTTTAAGATCTTTAATCTTGGCTAATGTAATTATGATGTGCCTTGGTGTGTGCTTCCTTGGGTCCAAGTTCTTTGGGACTCTCTGAACTTCCTGGATCTCCTAGAATTCTATTTCCTTTGCCAGATTAGGGAAGTTCTCCTTCATTATTTTTTCAAATAAGTTTTCAATTTCTTGCTCTTCCTCTTCTGCTTCTGGCACTGCTATGATTCAAATGTTGGAATGTTTAAAGTTGTCCCGGGGGTTCCTAAGCCTCTCCTCATTTTTTTGAGTTCTTGTTTCTCCATTCTGTTCTGGTTGAATGTTTATTTCTTCCTTCTGCTCCAAACTGTTGATCTGAGTCACTGTTGGTTCCCTGAATATTTTACTTGACTTCACTTTTCATAGCCTTCACTATTTCCTCTATTTTGTGACCAAATTCAACCAATTCTGTGAGCATCCTGATTACCAGTGCTTTGAACTGTGCATCTAATAGGTTGGCCATCTCTTCATCACCTAGTTGTATTTTTTCTGGAGCTCTGATCTGTTCTTTCATTTGGGCCATTTTTTGTCTCTGCACCAAAACAATTTTGTTAGATTGTATTGTGACAGCTGTCCTATCAGTGTGCATTTAAAAAAACCATCAAAATTGGTGAATTTTTGTGAAGCCATTTTAATACTGAAAACGGAAGAAAATATGCAACATTTTGGGCATATTATGCTTTACTATTTCAAGAAAGGTGAAAATGCAACTGTAATGCAAAAAAAAAACCCCCAAAACAAAACCAAAACTTGTTCAGTGTGTGAAGATGGTGCTGTGACTGATCAAACGTGTCAAAAGCGGTTTGTGAAGTTCCGTGCTGAAGATCTCTCACTGGACGGTGCTCCAGGGTCGGGGAGACCAGGTGAAGCTGACAGCAACCAGAGACATTAACTGAGAACAATCAACATTACACCAGGCAGGAAACAGCCAACATATTCAAAACATCCAAATCAATAAAGTTACTGGTGAAAATGGAAATAAAAAAGTGTCTTTTATTCTATAGAAAAAACCATGCGGACTTTTGGCCAACCCAGTCTATGGGGGAAACAAAGAGAGGAGGTAATATTTCATGGAAAAAGCAATCCTAGGAGTCTAGCATATTTTAGGTCTGAAAAAACAAAAAAAAACAAAAAAAACTCTCAAGAAAACAAAACAACTTACTTCTTTAAAAAAGCTCACCGGGACATTAAAATGTCCAACTTGAACTTAAAATCCCCACAGGGAAAAGCACTACTGTCCCTCAACCCACCTCTGCCCCGGGGAGGAAACCACCACCATGTTGTTTGTGCACCCTTCCAGAAATAACTCTTCGCACACACAAGCCTATATATTACCTACAGGAAAAACAAAACAAAACAAAACACCAAACCCTAAACGGACCATCGACAGCTCCCCAATAAAGCCACACTCGTACTTTCTGTGCGAGCCAAGCCCACCCGAACACCTGCCGGCAGTGGAGAGGCGGCAGGCAGCATTCGCAGCAGGTGGCGGACCGTCACAGAGCAGTGGGCGTGCGTGAGCTATCACGACACACAGGCACGCCGGATGTCATTCTCTCAAACACACTGCTGAGCCGAAGGGGCTAGACGCAAAACAGCACGCACTGTACAATTCCACTGAAGGTGCTCGAAACCAGGCAGCGCTGATCGGGGACGACACAAGTCAGGGTGATGGTGGCTTTGCACTTGCTGAGTGCTTCCCAGTCAGCCCACGAAGCACCTGCCCCTTCTTCTCCCCGCCTCACCTCCAGCGGCGGCCTCCTCCTCCCAGAACTCTCCACACACTGCGAGGTCCCTCTGACACACACCCCCCCCCTCCGCCCCCCGACACTCCTGGCCCAGGGCCTGCGCTCTCACCGCTCCCTCTGTCTGGAGTGCCCCTCCCCCAAACGTGTGCTTAGCCAAGGGCCTCACCCCCTGCGAACCTCAGCTTCAACTTCCCTTTCTCAACAAAGCCTACCGAGTACCTTATTTAACGCTCACCCTGTGCCCTCCTCCTCCTCCACCACCACCACCACCACCACCACCACCACCACCACCACCACCACCACCCTGACTCCGCAGCACCTGGCAGCCTCTAACCTAGATGGTGTGCTTAATTACAACACTTATGTCTATTTCTAAAGACTAGCACATCAGCAAAAGGGCCGAAATCTTTGCTGATCGGGTTCACCAATACAGCCCAAAGGCCCAGAACGGTGACTGGAAGACGGGGCAGCTTAACACAGACTCGCTGCTGATGGACGGACAGAGCGTGCCCCGGAGAACCCTGCCCGCGGCGGCCGTACCTTGTCGATGTAGAAGTCAACCTCGGAGGCCGACTGGAACTCGCCGTCCAGGGCGGAGATGCCGCTGGTCCACACCAAGTTCTTCATTTTGTGCTTGAAGACGAGGAGCTGGATCCGGAACTCCTGCTCGGAGAGGTCCAGGAAGCCGGCCAGCTTGGCCACGGGCATGGTGGTGTAGAGCTTCAGGAAGCTGCGGATGGTGGAGAGCTGGGCCTGCTGCTGCACTTCGTCGGAGAACACCTTCAGCTGCTGCAGGAAGGGCTCCTTGTGGTAGTTGGGGTGCACGTTGTCATAGTTGGGCACCACGGGAGACAGGAACTTGGGGCAGGAATAGCTGAAAAGCTCCTCGTAGACCTGCGGGTCGCCCTTCTGCATGCGCAGCATCTTGTCCCCGTACTTCTCCCGCAGCTGGAGGTGAATGCTCTCGTCGATGCGCATGGGGTACATGGTGAGGGCGATGGCCAGCAGCGCGTGCATCTGCTCGTTCTGCTTGTTAATCTGCGGGCGGGGGTGAGGTGGCACTGCGTCAAACGACGCAAGCTTCCCGAGGCCCCGCCGCCCTCGCGAGCACACGCCCCAACGTCTGACTTCTCCCCAGGTCTGCACCAGTCAGTTAACTTTCCCAACGTCCCTCCGGAGCCTCCCTCCGGCTCTGTTCAATCCCGGCCCAGCTCCGGGCCCTCCCCAGCTAGAGTCTTCACCGGTAACGCTCAGTCTCTCCAACTGCCACACACATCACTGGCAGGCACGCCCCCCACACCAGTCATGACTGAGTTACCCAGAAGCTTTTGTCGGCACCTCCATGCCTATAGAACAAAGACTAAATTCTTCAGCTGGGTAATGAAGGCTGCCCCAGAATCCACCCCCACAGTTCGACTACTCTTCTGCTCTCCAGCCAAAAGGGTTTCCCGTGCTGCTACACCACCAGGCGCTCCACAGTCTCAACAGCCCCGGTCTGCCTGAAACTTCTGTGCATGCCTTGGATCCACCCTCCTCCACGGCCAAGTGCCTGAGCACGACACCCACATCTCACTCACTCATTGTTAAACACCACAGCCCACAGAACACGCAGCAAATTTTTGCTGAGTGAATAAATGTAGGCACTGCCCTGGCTGGTGGGGCTCTGGGGACTGAGCGCTGGCCTGCGAACCAAGTGGTCGCCAGTTCCATTTCCGGTCAGGCCACATGCCTGGTTGCGGGCCAGGTCCCCAGTGGGGGCGATGGTGGTGGTGAGAGGCAACCACACACTGATGTTTCTCCCCCTCTCTTTCTCCCTCCCTTCCTCCCTCTCTAAAAATAAATGAATAAAATCTTAAAAAAAAAAGATTTTCTTTATTTTTAGAGAGGGAAGGGAGGGAGAAAGAGAAACATCAATGTGCGGTTGCTGGGGGTCACGGCCTGCAACCCAGGCATGTTACCCTGACTGGGAATCAAACCTGTGACACTTTGGTTCGCAGCCCGTGTTTAATCCACTGAGCTACGCCAGCCAGGGCATCAAATCTTAAAGAATATAAAAATAGTAAAATAAATGTAGGCACTGATGGAGAATAAACCACGATTAAAAGATACCATCACCAAGATGTTAACATCCGAGGTAAGAGACACAACAAAAAACTCCTAGAGGCAGCCAGCTGCAAAGGAATCATCGTGCAGGAAACGCGTACTGAAAGAGCAAGCGTTCAGACAGCGTTTACCAAAAAATGCGGGCACAGGCGCCAAGGGGTCAGGCGCTCGGAGGCCCCCTTACCATCTCATACTTGTATGTGGTCCTCTGGAACATGCTCTTGGTCCTCTGGATGTAGAGGAGGATGTTGGCGAAGACCCGGATGGCATCCTGGTAGCGGCGCATCATCAGATACGCAAAGCCAACGTAGTAGTACGTGGTGACCTGGCACTCGGGCACACGGGAGTACATGCTCTGTGGGAGGGGAGGGGAGACGGCTCTGTGAGGCCCAGAGCGAGTCATCGCAGGGGGGACCGGACGTCAGCTGGGGTCAGCGGCCCTGGGCATGGACTATTCTGCTCTCCAACAGCGTTACGTGACCCGGGGCCTCCGTTTTCCCAGCTGCAACAAAGGGACTGGCCCAGGTCACCCCAAAACCTGTCTGCTCTAAACCCTCTAACCTCGTGTTTTCTCTCCCTTGCTTTCTACTACTTGCCTCTGTAAACAAGCCCCAGGAGCAGACAGAGGGGAAGACAGGCACATGCCACGCCTAGCACAAAGGCGCCGGTATTTATGTGGCGAGGGAAACCACCTCAGTTCATCCTATTTATCACTATTTAAACCACGTTAGAACTAAATTCTTTTGTTAACTAAGACCAGTGAAACCTGAGTAGTAAACCTCTGCCTTTATCGTTCTGTTTCGGAAACAGAATCAGAAGACGACTGGACATTTCAGGCAGGCGTCGGCGAGCAACCCCCTCGTCCAGGGCCGGGTGTTCGCCGCAGTGGCTCCCCCGCTTCCCTCTGGCCCGGGGAAGAGGAGTCCCCTTTCACCCGACACTCGTCCCAGCAGGTGCAGACGGACTTTCCGGCCCCGGGCAGACGGGCGGCTGGTTACCTTCTTGTTCAGCTCGATGTTCTCCAGCACCTTGATGGCCTGGTAGTAGTCCCCCAGCAGCGAGTGCAGGCGCAGCAGCCCCACCAGGCTGAAGTAGCCGAGCATCTTGTAGAGCGAGTGCCGTCCGTACTCCCCAGCCACGCTCTCGGGGTCCCCTAGGGAGACAGACGCCCAACGCTGCAGCCGGCACGGGCGGAGGCAGGCCAGCCCGGCCCCTGATGGCCCCTCAGTTACTCCTCACTCACTGCCAGCCTCTGCAGCCCTCCGCCGTGGGGGCAACTCGGCCTTCGAAGGCCTACCGAGCAACAGCGCGCCTGGCCTTCTGCTAGTCCCGTGCTTGCCTCCAGCGGGGTGGAGGGCAGCCGCTCTTTCATTTTCTGGTTCCAATCCACCTGAGAACACGAGAGGCCCCTCCTTCCAGGAGGCTCACGAGGTCAAAACTGTTCTCCTAAGGGCACGAAGTCGCTATCTGCCTCGCCCGCTCAGCCGACACCGGCACCCACGACGCAAAAACAAGGCCGGGAAACTCTACTGACGACTTGGCGTCCACCGGGCGGAGGCCGCACGCAGCTGCACCCGCAGTCACTGAACTCTTCACCGCCCCGCACTCGCGGTGAAACGCTAGCCGCTTTTCACAGAACACCCTTTTCACTTCCAAGAACAACGGACACACAAACTCTGGTTACTTAGATTTGGGTATTTAGCAGCCACTTTCTCAAAAACCAATAAAGGCCAGCCTGTTACACTCCAGTGAAAGCAATGGACAATGTCTGCTGCCCAAGAAAAAATTAAGCTTTTAAGAAAAAAACTGGACTTTTATAAAACTTGCATCCGCCACCATGCACTCAACCGCTGGCAGACAGACCCATCGGACGAGGCTGACGGCAGAGGCGGCCGGGCGGTCACAGGGTTGGCACCACGGCACGTGTCAGTCCCGGGAAGCCCTCGCAGCCCGGCGACCCGCGTGTCACGAAGGCGTGCATACGTGAAAGGCCCACTCAAGCCACAGGAGGAGCCAGAAAACCTTAACACACCAAAGTAAGAGCTCACCGCTGGGCTTCACACCCTCCCTGCCGCTGGCCCGCAGGGCGGCACCGCCGCCGGCCAGGCCCCGCAGCGCCATCAGAGCCCAGCTGCACCCCCCGGAAAGGCTGCAGACAGCTTCCCCTTCGCCGGCTGAGAACCTCTGTGAGGCCGGACTCCCCCCGTCTACTTCAGGCAGAACAGCAAACCGCAAGAGACTGGAGACAGGAACAGAAATAAGAATCCAGTCTCTGCTGGAGGCCAGACACTAAAGCACCTTGCAAAAATGCCACTGCTCTCACTGAGAAATTCACACAGATACACTCTGCGATTCTCCCAATCTACTGCGAGTGAGAAGCGGTCCCGACGCCAGAGCGAGGACAGGGCGCGCCCACACACAGCCCCGGAGAGACGACAGGAGTGTCGGAGCACACGGCTCAGAACCGCCGTTCCGGTCCGCCAGCCAACACCTGCTGAGCGCAGCAGCCCCTGATCCCGGCAGTCGGCCGCCGCTCACACCCCAACACCCCCAACACCAGGGGGAGCCACAGCCACTGCCCGGGGGCGGTGACCCCTCCGCACTCCCCTCGGCCTCTGCCCCCGGAACGGGTGGCAGGCAGCACTCACCGCCGCTCGTGTACACCTCCAGCTGCCGGTTGATGTTGGACTTGTCCACCAGGGAGTGGAGCACGTTGAGGACGCTGTGGACATTCCAGATCTTGGGGTTGGAGCGAAGGAAGTCGATCTCCTCCTCCGACTTCTTGGCGGTCTTACAGCGGTACTGACTGAAGGACTGGAACTGGGGAGGGGGGAGGGACAGGCTCGGCGGGGGCAGGAGGCCCCGTGCCGGCCCCAGGGCCCCACGGCCGCTGCTGCTCATGCCCCCCCCTTGCACACGGCTCGTGTCTTCAGAGCCCCCTCTGTCTACGCTGGGAGTCTTGTTCACGACTAAACACGTTAGCTGTTCCACAACTAAGTAAAAATCTCTGAGGTCAGAGGTAGTTTGAGGGGGAAAACATTCATTTTGGAGTCAGACACAGCCCGGTGTCACTTGGTATCTCTGAGCCTCACAGTGCGGCGTCCCTGGCCACCAGAACTGGGTGGTTCCAAACAGACCGCTATCCGCGGGCGGCTCTGCACGCGCGCATCCATGCAGTGGAGACGGGCCGCTGCCTGTGTGTGGGGATCTTCCCCACCAGAGCTGCCCATCAACTCACCCGGAACAGGGGCCCAGCCGAGTGTCAGACACACGCTGGGAACACGCCACAGCATTCGTGCGGGGCAGTCCTTCTATCGGACCAGCATGGGGAGGACGGTGCAAGACCACCTGCTCGACCCGAACTTTTAAAAGCGCCCAGGCCGATGCTGGGGCACACTCGGGTGTGGGGACCAGCGACCTAGGAAGCTCTGTCCTGACGGCCTAAGGTCGTGCCTCAGCTCTGAAGTATTATCTCCCTCCAAGAGTGTAGGAGAAAAGGTTGTCAAATTTACAATAAACAAAGGACGGTATCCAGAATACATAAAAAATTCTCATGAATTAGTAAGATACTCCAATAGGAAATAGGCAAAGGATGCTGATGACCACTTCAAAGAAAAACAGGATTAGTCTATTAACGGGGGAAGTGCTCAGTCTCTTTGCTTGTAAAATGTAAATTAAATTCAGAGTGCCATCTTTTCCATCAAACTGACAAAAATTAGCCCAATAACACCCAGTACAGAAAGCGAGCTCCCAAGGGCCACTGGTAGCAGCATAATTCGATACAGCCTTTCGAGCAGCATAATTCGATACAGCCTTTCGAGAGGGAACTGTATTGGTCTGCTGAAATTCAAACTGACTGCAATGCTCTGTGTCTCGGTTGTGGCTGTGTGCCCTCTCGTCATATTCCATCAATTGTACCCTTAAAATTGGTACATTTATTGTATGCAAATTATACCTCTATAAAGTCAACTTTCTAAAATGTAAAAAGCAAATATCCTTCAACCAACAATCCCACTTCCAGCGCTCCCCCGAGACAGGCCTCCACGTCACACACGCAAGGATGCGCACCGTCCCAGGGTCTGCAGCAGTGGAAACCAAACCCGACGTTCACCATCGGAGTGGAGCACCGGTATCGGGCAGCACGCCGCACCACAGAACACGGCTGGTCTCTGTGCAGATGCACTAAGTGCTCCACATAGTAGCAAAACACACGCTACAGCAGGGCGCCTTAAGTGATGTGTCTTATCTGAGCGCATTGGAGCACTCGCCGGAGAAACGCTACCATGGTGCCTGTCTCTCCAGGCAGCACGGATGCTCCGCTAAGAGAAGGAGACACTTCCCTCTCATCTGCAGTCTGAAAACACACGGCTGTTTAAAACACCGTGAACACGTTCACATATGACTTGTAGCAGTGAAAACAAACAGAAGAGGGTGGCAGAAGAGCCACTCACCTCTTGGGGCATCCCCCTGGCTGGGGGGGACCGCCAGGCCTCCACCGGCCAGTCTCGGTCAGAAAGGGAGCCCCTTAAGCCCCTTGGGAGAGAATGCCAGCTAAACCGAGGGAATCACGATGATCTCCAGAGGGACGAAGAAGCCTAGCACAGACACCCCGCCATCCCCCGACCTGCTGCAGGCCCACAGGACCGCCCGCCTCCCACCGGTCCGCCACACCGGGGGCCGGCACGAGTCAAGGAGCCAGAGAGAGACGAGGCCGGTGCGGCTCGTGGCCAACACCGCATGAAGGCGCTGAAGCCTCACCTGAGCGGGAAGCGTTCCTTTTTTTTTTTTTTTTCTTTTTAAGGAAGCTTCTTTCCCAAACAGCCCCCAGAAGGTTTTCTCGGCTCACCAACCACAACTTAGTGGCACTCTGGTCCACGAAGTTCAAAGGACATCTTTAAGAAGCTGATTCCCTGCAATACCCAGTGTGAGCTATCCTGTCCCCGTAAAACACGTGGAAAACAGGTCTTTTCCCCATTCAGTTATTTTACTTTTTCATCTGGGACACTCTCCAGAACAGAACGGGCTGAGAGAAGGCGAGGAGCGGTGGCACCGACCACAGCCGCCCGGTGCCCAGCGAGCGGTCGCCCCGCGACAGGCACTGCGCGAAGGACTTCACGCCTGACCCCGTCACCCGCCAACAACCCCGTTTCGTGGAAACCAAGGCGCAGTGTGGTCAGTGACGAGCCCAGGGTCCAGGGCTCGTGACCAGCAGAGCCGGCCCGCTGGCCCCCAGGCCCCACGGCCGCAGCACTCCCCGTCAGGCGCCGTTCCCAGGGGAACCTCAGCACAGCACCCCAAGGGGCGAGGTTGCCATTTCGACGAAATGTTCTACTTCAGTCTGACCTGGCATGCACCTCAGTAACCACTACCAGGACGCAGAACACTTCTGTTTCTGAGGGCAAGGGGAGCGAGGCTTGGAAAGCTTAACTAGCATTTCACCGTCACAGAGCCACCGGTGGCCCATGGCCCCCAAACCTGCGGCCCGTGTTCCTCCTGCCGCCCGCCTCTCAAGGCCAGGCAACAGCTCAACCCTCCGGACTTCCAAGTTCCTGCCTGGAGCTCAGATGCCACAGGGACTCTCCAGAGAGCCACGGCAGAGGAGCCCACCGTCTCGGGCTGTTTCAGACTGTGGCATGCATGTTCTCACACTGCGCACCTTTCTAACGACACGAGCAATGGTAACAGCGCCCTCTGCTCTAACCAGTTATTCCAAACTAGGCCCGATACCTGGTAGATGAACTCGTCGATGATGTCCCAGAGCCACTGGTTGGGCAGTTCAAGGGGAGCAGGGCCATCAGCATCTATGCAGGAAACCACAGAAAAGTCAGACCAGAGGCAAGGACTATGCCCACTTGGCGAGGCTACGGAACACGCTTTGCAACTTCTCTCCTAAAAAGACCGGCCCTGCCCTGGCTGCTGTGGCTCAGTGGGCTGGGCATCGTCCTGCAGACTGAAAGGTCGCAAGTCAGATTCCTGGTCGGGGCACATGCCTGGGTTCCAGGCCAGGTCCCCAGTTGGGGGCGTGCAAGAGGCAACTGATTGAAGTTTCTTTCACACACTGAGGTTCCCCTCCCTCTCTTGTGCCCTCCCTTCTCCTCTCAAGGCATCCGCCGGCTCCTGCACATTAAGTCCTGCTGAACTGAGCTGTACCAGGCTTTATCGTACCCTCCCCAACGTGGCCAAACCCTAGACTCACTGAGAATGTAGTTGAAGAGATTGCAGTAGTTATAATAGGATTCGAACCTCTGCTCCAAGGAAGGTCCCCCCTGTAAAGAGAGCAGAGACATCAGGACATACATAATTCATGTAAACGTTACTCATGGCCTACCACAACGGCCGAAGGCAAGCACAGGCAAGCTGACGTCTGCTCTCTCCTTAGTATGCAGGGGGCACTGGCGTGAGCGGGAAGACCGCGTGTGCAGCAGCAACTCAAAGGAGTGCTGAATGCCGGTCTTCATGGTAACAGCCCTAACCAAACGTGAGGGGGCAGGCACGCAGACCTGGCAAAGCAGAGGGGAGGTGTTCCAGCAAAGACAGTACTACCAGCAGAGACAGTACTAACAGTACTAACAGTAAAGACAGTACTAACCAAGGCAGAGCAGGAAAGCGAAGGCTGGAGTGAGAGGAGACCGTGCTGCGTGGCTACAGTGAACTGCACCAGCCCACCGAGGGAGAGGTGTTCAAGGGCCGGGGGTGAGCAAAGCCACCAACCCGTTTCTGCAAATGAAGTCTGACTGGAACACAGCCGTGAGCGCTCACTGGCTATGGCTGCTCGAAAGGCACAGCTGGATGCACCCGACAGAGACCGCCGTGGCCCTCAGAGTCGGAAACACTCTCTGGCACTTCACACCGGAGGCCGCTGACCCCAGTCGAGACTTGAATGGCGCAGGTGCCTGAGAACCACTAGGGTTTCCGAGCTGGGGAGCACGGTGCGTGACGCACCCCTAACGGAGTGGAGAGGACACCGCCTGGCCGCCTTAGCCCGACCCCTTGTGCACGCAGCGTCCCGACAAGGTGTGCCGTCCCCATAACGGGGGGGTCAGGTAGTGCCCAAGACGGGACGTGCTCTCTCGACGGAAAGCCTCCCTCTAAGGATTTCCAACTGGCCATGCGTTTGGTACCTAGCACAGAGGTGACGGCACCAACAAACCTCGGCTGAATCTCCACCTACAGGCCAGAGGGAGGACCGGAGGCGGTCAGACCGGCTACACTACGTGCTCCGACGCCATGGTCTTCCCCAAACAGCCGCATCATACGGGCTGGCGAGGTTCTCCGCCTAGCCCTCCATTACCTGCCCCTCAGCATCAGGGCTAGGAGGGACTCTCCCGTCTCAGATAAGGTACTCCGAGATCTCACTGGGATGCCAGAAGAGCATGGCACCCCATGTTACTCTGGCAACAGAACTCCAGCTACCACTACTGATGGTGGTCCTGCCACGGCCGGAGTCCAGTCAGGCCACGTGGTCCTCGGGGACCTCGTTTCTAGGGAGGGAGATCACGGTGCCAGTTTCTCTCCCTCGCACAGCCACACACACACTCCGACAAGTAACGTGTCGCCCTCAAGCATCAGGCACCGGATCAGAGCAGAGAACAAGGCAAGGCCCTTGCCTGGTGGCGCGTACCCCTCTTCAAGGCGGAAGCAGGCAAAAGCCCCATGAACAAACCATAAAACGTCAGCTAGCGACACGTGCTCAGAAGTGCCACAGAGCTCGGCCAGGAGCCCTGGGGAAGTCTCAGGAAATGAAACTGGCAAGTTGGGTCAGGGGCCGGTTCAAGCAGAACCCTAGGACTTGGGATTGCATTCCAAGTACGACGGGAAGTCACGGTAGGATGGAGGAAGGCGACTTAGTGACGAGACTGTGACCCCAAGGATCCTGCTGGTTACTGGGCTGAGGACAGACCCAGGTGGGTGAGGGTGGAGAGTGACAGCAGCCGAGAGGCAGCAGTGCGGGCGTGAGGTGGTCGTGCTCGAGCTAAGGCGGCGGCGGTGGCAGTGGCAGCGGTGGCAGAAAGCAGCAGCCGGTTTGAAGGACGCTAAGGGCACAGCTGAGCAGGATTTCCCGCAAGGCTGATGTCAAAAGAGAGAGAAGTCCAGAACGGTTCCAAGTACCCGGGTGAAGGGCGGCACCGTTTACTGAGACCACCAACAGGGGGCAAACAGGTTCCGAGAGACCGCAGAGCTCCGTCTCGGCCGCGTTCAACCCGAGATGACAGTCAGACGGCCGCAGGCGGGTGTTGGGCACCCGGACAAACGAGTCCGGGGCCGGAGAGACTGGGCCTCCTTGAGACCGAGATCTGTAAGTCTCGGGTGTCTGCGAGCAGCGCAGGCGGTGTTTTAAGAGGCTCCGGGCACGCTCAGATTTTGAAGTTAGGAAGAGAAGAATCACACGAGAGCCCGACGTTGAGGCAACGTGGTAACAAGAACACTGGTGTCGCAATGAAACAGGTCTGGGTTCGAGTTCTGTCACCGGACTATCGCTGGGAAGTGGAGAACAAGCTGCCTCTCTGCACCTCCGTCTGCCCACCTGGCCACCACTGCGAGGGCTCAGCGTGCAGGTGTGTGCCAGGCGCCCAGAGAGCACAGCATCACGCACACGTCAGGAACAGAGGCTCAGCAGCGGTGTGCGGAGCAGCAAAAGAGAAGACACCCCAAGCAGAGGCGGCAGGAGGTGCTGTGACACCCCGCGAGTGTGGCCGCCCGCAACCCAGCGCACGGCGACACTCGCCCAGCCAAGCAGAGCGAGCCTGGGGAAGCGCAGGAGGACGCACACGCCCTGCGCTGTCCCGGTCTGTCTGGGACACATGCCCGGCCTTCCAGGCTCGGTCGTCCCACTGCCACGTCTGACCAGAGAACACGCCCACCACTCCTGGACTCCGAACCAGCATCAGCTGGTAACCGTGTTTGGAGAGCGAAACGGCACAAAGTTTAAACCACTGCCTGCAACACTGAGATACTCACGCTGACTTTGGCGTATATGTGCCTGTAGTAGAGCTCTTTGTACAGGATCAGGAAGACGGCATCTGAAAGAGACGCAGAGGGGGACTCGGTGACCCGCACAACAACGAGGGTCTTCCGGCCGTGTCGGCCCCCGGGGGCAGCAGAGGAATCAACGCGATTTCAGAGAACACAACAGCTGCCCTCTGACGCTCCCACCTCAGGACACACACAACGAGAAAACTCGTTTCTCGAGGGAAGGACGCTAGGTCTTTCAACCAAGACCTAGGACCAAGTTCTTTCAACCTCACCTCAATCTAATTCAGGCCCAGTTCTGCTCACCATTCAGAGACCTTGGCCACCCAGCTGCTTAAATAAACCAGCACGTTAGCACGTGGCTACAGCTCCGTGGGAAGCAGCAGACACCACCCACCAACACTGTAGACACGCGGCATCGCTGACCCAGCTGGACCTCGGCTGGTGCCTGGGCACCTAGGGTTTGGGGGGTCCCCACCACCCTGGTCAGGGAACTCCCTCTGCTGTGCCTACACTGTGCCAACAACACGGTTTGTTCTGAACGCCTCCTTTCCCTTCAGGGAGGCTGGGATTTGAGGACCCGTTAGGCAGGGCGTGTGCTTACACAATGAGCCCCCAACAAAACCCCTGGACACTGAGTCTGTAATAAGCTTCTCTGGTAGACGACTCGTCACGCATGATGTTACAATTCCTTGCTTGAGGAATTAAGCGCCCCTGGGTGACTACCCAGGAGTGGACCGTGGGAAACTGGTGCCCGGTTTCTTCTGGACTTCAGGGCACACACTGTTCCCTTTGCTGATTTTGCTCTGTGTCCTTCTGCTGCAAACCCTGATAGCTTGGGGACACCGTATGCTGAGTACCGAGTCCTCCTAGCAAATCATCAAACCTGGAGGTGGTCTTAGGAATCTTGGAGATGAAGAATCCTCTCCAAAAATACAACAAAGAAAAAAATGGAGCCCTGGATGGTGTGGCTCAGTAGACTGAGCGCCAGCCTGCAAACCAAAGGGTCACCAGTTTGGTTCCCAGACAGGGCACGTGCCTGGGTTGTGGGCCAGGTGCCCAGTGAGGGGTGTGCAAGAGGCACCACACACTGATGCTTCTCTCCCTCTTTCTCTCTCCTTTCCCCTGACTAAAAATAAAGAAAATAATTTTATTTATTTATTTATTTATTTATTTTTAGAGAGGGAAGGGAGGGAGAAAGAGAGAGAGAGAAAAACATCAATGTATGGTTGCTGGGGGCCGTGGCCTGCAACCCAGGCATGTGCCCTGACTGGGAACCAAACTGGTGACCCTTTGGTTCGCAGCCTACGCTCAATCCACTGAGCTACACCAGCCAGGGAAAATAAATAAAATCTTAAAAAAGGAAAAGGACATTCAGTCTACGTAAAGAAAGGAACAAACAAGTTACAGGTAAGCCCTGAACAACATGGGTTTGAACCATGCAGGTTCACTTACATGTGGAACTTTTTCAGTGAATACCTGTGCTGGTTCGATTGTGGTCAGGAGTCCGCAGATGGAAAGGACCGACCACACGCGGGGATCTAGGCCATTTGATACAGAAGACCTGAGCATCCGTGGATTTTGGTATCTGCAGGGGGTGCTAGAACCAACCCCCTGCAGATACAAAGGGGCAATTTAAGTTTCTGGGGAATCAGAAGTGACACGCACCACTGGCCAATGTGACTCAGTAGGTTGGAGTGCTGCCCCATAAACCAAAAGATCACAGGTTCAATTCCTGCTCAGGGCATATGCCTCAGTTGTGGATTTGGACCATGGTGGGGGAGTGGGTGAGAGGCAAAAAAAAAAAAAAAAAAAGCTAGATGTTTCTCTCTCCCCCTCCCTTCCCCTTTCTCTAAAATCAACAAGCACGTCCTAGGTTGAGGATAAGGAAAAACTAAAGTTGTATGCAGCTTTGCCTATATGCAGGGTCAGCACTCCTAACCCCTGCGTTGCTCCACAATCAACCGTATTCTTACTTGCACACATACGTACAGAGTGTCACAGGAAGGATAAACAAAAAGAATGATAATAGTAGATGGCTCCGGAGAATGAAACCAAAGACACGGGGACAGAAGGCAGGGGGAGGTTGTCAGGGGACGGGTGGTTATACCAAATCTCCTTTCATACTCTTGAGTACTGTGAATCCTCACCTGTTTAAAAACACATTATGAGCCCTGGCTGGTGTTGTTCAGTGGACTGAGCACCACCTGCAAACTGAAAGGTCACTGGTTTGATTCCCAGTTAGGGCACGTGCCTGGGTTGTGGGCCAGGTCCCCGGTAGGGGGCACTCAAGAAGCAACCACACACCTATGTTTCTCTCCCTCTCTTTCTCCCTCCCTTCCCCTCTCATGAAAAGTAAATTTAAAAAATGTTTTTAAAAAAATAGTGAACAAAACAGACCCAGACCATCCCGAGCTTCTAAGGACCCCCGACCACAGGACCCCGTCCGGCACCCAGGACAAAGGCCCACTCACACCTACCATTGCCAACCTGTGGCGCAATGGCTTCGGCCTCAGGCCAAGGTGTATTCTTGAAGAATCTTTCTGTCAGCTTCGTCCAGCTGAAAGACAACCAGAAAAATTCTAGAACTCAAAAACAAGAAGGAACAGAAAGAGGCAACGCTTTACAGACAAGGCCCTAAGCTCCGGAAGGGGAAGATGCCACAGAAACAGAGCAGGGCCGAGCCCTCCAGGCCCCCAGCTCGTCTCAGCCCAGCTCTGCCCCAGACCGTCTTCCTTACCACGGCAAACCACCCACTTTCTACCGGAGAGGTGCCTGCCTCGCCCGCCAGGGTCATCGCCTGCCTCTGCGCATGAACTCTGGCGCTGGCTATCCCCTGACTTGAGAACCACTCTCAGATGCTCCCACCCTCTCCCTTAGCAATACCAGTTCCACTTCTAGAGCATCGTGCCTCCTCCCTTCTGGATTGAGCACCGCACTGCGAACCAAAGGGTTGCCAGTTCGATTCCCAGTCAGTGCACATGTCCCCAGCAGGGGGCACATGAGTGGCAACCACACGCTAACGCTGATGCTTCTCTCTTTCCCTTCCCCTCTCTCTAAAAATAAATTTTAAAAACATTTATTAAAAAAACCCCACTTAGCTCAGTTATTGGAAAACTTTCCAGTTTTGGAACAATCAGGTATATGAATTTACTTTTCTAACTGTGAATGTTATGAAATCTAAACAGAGATCAAGTATTTCTATTGCATGCAAATTGAGATGTGCTATAAATGTAAAAGATGGGTTTTTAAAAACTTAGTACAAAGAAAAATATCTTAATAGTTTAATGACTATGTGTAGAAATATTTTAGGTATGCTAGATTAAATTATTAAAATTAATTTCACCTAATCCTTTTTATCTTTTAAAATGAACCTGATAAGGCCCTGGCCGGGTAGCTCGTTGGTTAGAGCATCATCCCGATACAGAGATGTGAGTTCGATTTCCAGACGGGACACATGCAAGAATCAATTTGCATAAATAAGTGTAACAACAAACTGATGTTTGTTTCTCTGTCTCTCTCTCTCTCTCAAAAATCAATAAATAAAATCCTAAATTATACACATGGCTAGCACTGTATTTCCACTGGACAGCAATGGCGTACACATTTCTACCAGAGAGACCCGGGGGATGAAGGAAATACAGGTCAGGGATTCACCCCTGTTCACTGACCCAGCAGGTCTCTGGCTACTTGCTTTCTAACCATCCTTACAGAAATTGCTTAAATTCCATTTCCTGGGTGAAGTCTTCACTGACTATCCCAACCCCGACTGCCCTGCCTCACCCCCAACGCCCATCACACAAGGGCAGTCCCCTCGCAACCAGGAGCAACCAACGACTCAAAGCTCGGCTCACCCTGTTATGCACTGAGAACATATATGGCAGTTTAGAAATTAGGCTCTAGCTCTGGCTGGTGTAGCTCAGTGGATTGAGCACTGGCCTGAGAACAAAAGGGTCGCGGTTCGATTTCTGACTGGGGTACAAGCCTGGGTTGCAGACCAGGCAAGAGGCGCATGAGAGGCAACCACACGTTGGTGTCTCTATCCCTCTCTTTCTCCTTCCCTTCCCCACCCTCTAAAAATAAATAAATAAAATCTTAAAAGAAATTAGGCTCTAGATTCAAATGGTGCAGGTTCCAATCTCAGCCAACCAGTTCACTATGTGACTTATCCTTTCCATGCTGTTTCCTCATCTGTCAAACGAGGAAAACCACAGTGCCCACTGCATGGGGTACTGGGAAAGGTAAGTGGGTAAATACAGGAAAAGCGCTCTAAACACTGCTTGATCTGCACTGACCGTGCACACTAACTGCCGTTACAACTACTGAGAGTGATGCTGTTCTTGGCCTTGCACAAACTCTGGGGACACAGAGTCCAATACAATAACATGTCCCTAGCCCTGAGGAATCACAGAAAACATTCTCTTTACAGAAAAATGGTTCAACTGCACCCCCTTCTTACACGGTGTAACACTAAGCCAGTCCTACCCACCCAGAAAGGGATCATTTCAGCCAGCAGCCCATACCTGTTCTCATAGATGTCCTGGATCTCATACACTTTCTGGTCAATGACATCGCTGGAGACACGACTTGCCTGTAGCTCATACACCTTCTGGTCAATCAAATCGGAGACGGTTTTGTGGAAATACTGGATGAAGTTTTTGATCACTTCGGGGATCACCTGATAGGTCTGCTGTTCATACTGACGCTCGTAAGCCAGATCCTGCTTTGGATCTCCTAGAGGTTGGATATGATACACACTTTACAAGCCGCTTTCAAACCCACGTACACGATATAACCGAAGGGAAAGACCAACCCCAACTAACCTCAACCCTATCAAATCGGACATAACTCCTCTTTTAAATGCTCAGATACAATCCTCCCAAAGGCACTCGCAATACCATCGCCTGCTTCTTCAAACATTTACCACTAAAGTCATTCATTTATTACCTGTTTCTCCCACTAGAACCTACAGTCCACAAGGGAAAGAACCTCATCTATCTCATGCCTAGATGTACCCTCAGGACCTAGAAGAGCTGTGTGTGTTGCGGGGGAAAGACTGCGGGCAGGAACAGAAAGTAGCAGGTACTTAACAGTATTTGAATGAATAAATGACTGCCATCTTCTACCCATGTGACTTGGTACAAGTGACTCAAGTTCTCTGTGCTAAGTTTTCTCATCTGTAAACTGGAGACCACATTCGTTTACACCCTTCACAGAACCGCTGTAAGGACCAAATGAGACGCTTCACACGAAGCACACAGAGCAATGCATGGCACTCGCTAAGTGTGAAGTCAAATCGAGTCACTATGACATTGGAGAAGACCTCAAAAGCCTTCCAAAAACATTTCATTTGGGGCCCTGGACGGAGAAACTCAGTAGGCCAGTGCAGTGTCCCAACACATCAAGTTTGTGGGTTCGATCCCCGGTAAGGGCACATACAAGAATCAATCGACAAATGCATAAACAAGTAGGACAAACTGATGTCTCTCTCTCTCTCAAATCAATTTTTTTAAAAGAAATTTCATTTAGGCTTGGTTTGAATCACTTTAGTTTTTTATAAACAAAAATTACAGCTAGGATAGTATCCTTCCCCTCTGCGATGTTTCCGTGGACCACAAAAAAGGCTCTGTGTGTTAGACTCCATACCTCCTCCTGCTGAGAGCTAATAACAGACTCCAGCCCTAGACCATCAAGAAGCAGTTTTAAACAAGTTCCGTGCAGCGCCGCTCAGACACTGGGCGCCAGTCCCTGCAGGTACCCAGCTGACCCTACAAACTCGCAGACTCACCTGTGTGCATATCATAGTCGCCTGGGTACGCATAGGGATCATAGGCCGCCTGTTAACGAAAAAGATTGAGTCACTAATTCGTGGATCCAAAATGCTGGTTCTAGGGCTTATGAGACGAGCAGGGTCCTAGGGATACAAAGTTGGATCCAGCACAGTCCTGCCTTTGAGGAACTCACATGCTTGTGAAGAAAGACAGTAAGGAGGCAATGACAACAACGTCTGGGTGCGTACGGCAGAGCACAGCACCGGAGACTGAAAAAATCCGCGGGCTTTGACAAGACTGGGCCCAAACCGTACGAGCTCAGCTACAGAAGCACGGGACCCACAACCAGCCTTGGACAAGTTGAGGCCAGGGGACCGGACACGGGAAGTGGGCGGGCAGACAGGGCTGAGCAGGAGCGGAGAGGGGTGGCAGCGGCATGCGGGCCGCGCCGGCCGGGCGCCAGGCTGGAGCTGATTGCGGCCCCCAGGTGGTTCCGGAGGGCCGACCCCGGCTCCCCGCGGGCCCAGGGTCCAGAGAGCCCCACCCCCGCCGCGAAGCCCGGCGCCTACTTAGGACCACGTTACCTCGGACTCGTAATCATCCGCGGGGTAAGACATGGCTGCGAGCCCCGTAAACCCAGCTGGAGAGAGCGAAAAGAGCGCTCTGCGCCTGCGTCCTGGGCCCGGAAGTTCAGCCCCGCTGGGGCCTGCAGGGAAACCGGAAGCTGCTCGGCGGCCGCCGGCAGTCTGAGACAGCCACCTTAGGAAGGGCGAAATATGCAAACGCCCAAATATTTCTTCCTTGAAATGGAGACTTTACAAAGAACGTGACGCTGAAGTACTTGCGTAAATTCAGAAATAAGGACGTGAAATCGTTCAGCATAATAAACTATGGGCAAAGAAACCCAGAGGGATGCCACACAAAGGATGGCCGACAGCTTCTTCGGGTCGATTTCTCGCGTTAAGTGAAAATCGGGTACCAGAGGGCTTGATGTGAATTTAGATGTAAGCGGTTTGCCTGCGACAAGTGTCTTCAAACGTTCGGGCCTCAAAAGACTAAACTTACTGGGTGTAAACGTTGAGACTTGGTCCCAAGCAGTGAGAGGGTATGGAGAAAAGGGTCCTCCCGACTTTGGACGTTAGGGTTGGCGCAGGCAAAGATGAGGCCAGCTCTGGCGCGAGGCCCAGAAGGAGTCCCGGCACCCACACGTGCAGCGTTGGATGCTGGGGCTGTGGGTGGGTTGGAATCTCTCCAAAGTGTGGGTTTGCGACCTGGGGAAGTCCTCAAGCTGGGGACGGGGTTATAAAGCCCCCAAAACTGATCTGTGAGTCAAGGGCCTTAGCTCAGTCGTCTCTCCATCCATAACACCTAGTGGAAATCGGGATTCCAGTCCCTGCTCGCCCACTAATTGCCGTGTGCCCGGGGAGCACCCTCTTCTCACGCAGGCCTTGCTTTTCCCAGCGTAGGGACCTCTGCCTGGGGCTTTTGCTTTCAGTTACTTGGTCTCCCTCCTAGAATGCAGCCCTCCCAGATGCGCGCAAGGCTGGCTCCATCACGTTCAGTTATTTGCTCTGATGCCAGAGACTCAGCATCCTGTTGATGGCGTTGGCCAAAAAGTCTGTATGGTTTTTTCCGTAAAATAAAAGACACATTTTTCATTTTCACCAGTAACTTCATTGATTTGGATATTTTGGGTATGCCGGGTATCTCCCGCTACTGGTTTCCAGTGGGTACAGGCCAGGGATGCTGCTAAACATCTTCCAATACATGAGACAGCCCTACAGCGAAGAATTATTTGGCCAGAATGTCAATAGTACCAAGAAACTTTGCAAACCACTTTTGATGCATTTGATCAGTCGCAGCACCTTCTCCATATGCTGCACAAATATTTTTGCGTTTCCGTTGCATTTTTACCATTCTTGAAATAAAAGCATATGCCAAAAATGCTGCTTATTTTCTTCCACCAGTAATAAAATGGCTGCACAAAAATTCACCAATTTTTATTGTTTTTTTTTTTATCTACGCTGTTATCACAGATGTTACAATACAATCTAACAAACTTGTTTTGAATGAAGTTAAAAGGCAACCAAGCACTACTAGAGCCATTGTGCAGGAAAAACTAAGCGAACTTTCAGTTTAGAATTGTGTGCCAGGCCACAATTCTCCACGCTGCGTTTCTGTTTTGCGTTCCCTCTGCTCCACCACAAAGAGGTGGTACTATCACGGAGCTAGAGCTTAAACTCTAGGGCTCCTCTATCCCCGCCCCGGACTCTTCTGTGGTCCATGAAGGGTCCCCAGCCATTGGCTCCCGTGATCGATCCCATGGTTTTGTAAAACGTGCAAAATATTTTTACTACAATCCCTTAAAACCTCTTTCTATTCGATTTCCGCTCTGTAATAACTTTCCTTTGTACTTAGTGGTGTTTGGGATCCAGCTAGAAGAAATCCAACTGGGAACCTTTCAGTTTAGGAGAATACATTATATGTACAGTTACGCTATTGCTGGCTGCTGTGCTATTGGAAGCTGGACCTACCATGCACTGTGATCGGTGAGTACCCTCAACGAAAAGGATATTTAAGGTTCAGCGGCACCGGAAAGCCTGGAATTACCTGACGTCTTACAGTTTGTGTCAGACAAAAATTTTCTATGGGTTACCCCAACTCTGACAATTCTCAAAATGTTCGCGACATTGCTGAAAAGGAACTGTGAAGTCAGACATTTTTCTAAATTACAAATACAAAATAGATCTAAGCCCTGGCTGGCATAGCTCAGTGGATTGAGCGCGGGCTGCGAACCAGGCATCACAGGTTTGATTCCCAGTCAGGGCACATGCCTGGGTTGCAGGCCATGGCCCCCAGCAACCACACATTGATGTTTCTCTCTCTCTCTCTCACCCCCTTCCCTCTCTAAAAATAAATAAAATTAATTAAAAAAAAGAGTGCATTACTGTTCATTCTAGGAGAAATGCACTTTAAAAAAATAGATCTAACATGCTGGAGCAATGATTTTCAACCTTCTTCATCTCATGGCACACGGAAACTAATTACTAAAATTCTGCAGCACACCGAAAAATGTATTTTTTGCTGAGCTGACCAAAAATAGGTATAATTTTCATTCCTTCACAGCAGACGGCTGTGGTTGTGTGGTTATCGTCATTTTTCCATTTGACAGTCTCAGGGAAAAGAGGTCAGTGCCCCTGATGACATAGTCAGGTACTGCATGTTCTAAAGATTCTTGTGGTGCACGGGTTGAAAACAGCTGTTCCAGAGGAAGGGCTTAGTTATTATTTTTTCATTATGGAAAATGATGACACAAAATTTTCATAAAAAGAGGCGATCAAAGCATATTCAGCCTAAAATAGAAAAAAAATATTATGAAGGTGTTTAAGAATGTTAACAAATGCCTATCTTTTCTGGATTTTGTGATGTTTAAGCTATTTGTCAGCTTTTTAAAATGGCAAATTGCAATTTGTGATTGCATGATTTCTCCTGTGATTTGAGTTGTAATTCCTTGCTCTAAGTGTTCTCCTTCCCACCAAGTTAGGGTTTTGAAACTTTCTATTCTCTGCTCTTCCCATGAGCTTCGGTCACCAGAAACTTGGATTCCTTGTTTATAGCCGTCTCACACACATTTCATTTATTTATGACTTTCTAGCTCTCCCAGAACGTACACCCTACTAAAACAATAGTGAAGGCTCAGCCCTGGCTGGCGTAGCTCAGTGGATTGAGTGGGGGCTGCGAACCAAAGTGTCGCAGGTTCAATTCCCAGTCAGGGTACATGCCTGGGTTGCAGGCCGGAACCCCCAGCAACCACACATTGATGTTTCTCTCTCTCTTTCTTTCTCCCTTCCCTCTCTAAAAAGAAATAAATAAAATCTTTTTAAAAAGAATAATAATAAAGGCTTGGGGAGGACCTTCCTCACTGCCTACTCTTTTTCCCTTTCCTCTGTTGATTCCTCCCCACCTGTCCAATCACTACATGGTGGGCTGCCCCTTCACTCTGGGCTTGGTCTCTTCTCACTCTGCCTTCACTCTCAGGGTGGCACGGCCAGTCCGCCAGGTTTAAACGTCATCCACGTGCTGTTGACTCCCCACGGGCCTCCATCCCAGCCCCCACCCCTGGAGGGGGCTCCAGGGCCTGAGCGAGTACCTGTAAGTCTAACGGGCACCTCGACCTCAACCTGTCCAAACCGAGCTTCTGATTTCCTGCCTCAACCCTGTTCCTCCCACAGTTCTCCCATCTTAGTTAAGGGCAACTTCATTCTTTCCGCTGCTCAGGCCAGCGCCTTCAAAACCCCCCTTGACTTGACTGCCTCACAGCACACCTTTGATGCATCTGCAGCTTGCTGGCTCTACCTTCTCAGTATTCCCGGGCTGAATTCTCACCACTACGTCTCTGTCATTCCTGTCTCAGCCTCCATCACCTCATTTGCATTGTAACAGCTACTCACCCTTCCCGCTTTCAATTTTCAATCCATGTTTGTTTCAATTGCATTTGAATTGAAACAGGCCATTGCTTGGCAGGGTATTGGTCCACTTAGAAATCCAACTTTGAACTGAAATCAGCTGGAACTCTGTCACAGACTTGAAACTTCCAATCACGGGTGGTTTTGCAAGGCTCCCTTGCTAACAGAACAGTGCTTCAAAGGGAAAGAAAGTACAGACGAAGCTCCAGAATTTTACCTGGGAGAGTTGTCAAGAGAATTTAGCAGCTGAAAAACTGCCCTGATTCTCTTCAGCTTCTTTTGCCTAGGCTTTCCGGCAGGAACTTCTCGGACTTACAAGAGCCATTAGTCATAGTTTATAGTCGGCCTGGGCTTTTCAGCTGGGTTCATTGCAAGCTTCACTTCCCGAGAGCCTCGTAGTTGTAGTTCACTGACTGTCCTGTTTGAGTCACTCTCCTGGGCACCGTCTGTCTCACGAGCGCCTGCCCACCCCTTCACTGCAATAATCTGTGGGCCCTGGGAGGGCAGTAGCTCAGTCTTTATAAATCAGAACTAGAAGCATCCTTAAGGATCTTCGGGTACACCAGCCCATAGATAGAAAGAAAAAAAAAACACATGCAGTAGCAAGATTTTTCCTGACCACAGGTTAAATTGTATCCCTTCTTTCACTGTAGACATTGAAGACTATTGTTCTTGCCCACAAATAAATATTCAGTTATCCTCCTGAAAACACAGGGCCGACTCTCCGTAGCCTAAAAGAACAGTTCTCAAATTGTTAAAAACTATAGCCCTGGCTGGTACGGCTCAGTGGATTGAGTGCTGGCCTGCGAACCGAAAGGTTGCCGGGTTCCATTCCCAGTCAGGGCGCGTGCCTGGGTTGTGGGCCAGTTCCAAGTGGGGGTGTGAGTTGTTTCTCTCCCTCTCTTTCTCCCTCCCTTCTCCTCCCTGCTTCTCTTTTTAAGTTTCGGGTTTTTTTTAAAGATTTATTTTGTTTATTTATTTATAGAGAGAGGGGAAAGGAGGGAGAAAGAGAGAGAGAAACATCAATGTGTGAGAGTTACATCAATCAGCCTGCGACCCAGGCATGCGCCCTGACAAGGAATTGAACCGGTGACCTTTTGGTTCTCAGGCCAGCACTCAATCCACTGAGCTCCACCAGCCAGGGCCCTTCCCCTCTCCCTTAAAATAAATAAATAAACAAACAAATAAATAAATAAAATCTTTTTTAAAAAATCCTCAGCCTTGTATATTTAATGTGGAAATTTTACTGTATGTAATTTCTACCGTAATAAGTTTTGATTTTAAAAATAGGTAAAATTAATAAAAAATGCTAACCAAAAAATTTTTGGAACTTACATGATGACAAAAGGTGAATACCATAATTCCCATACCAGTAAAGAGCCATCTTATTTAATTGTTAATGAGAGAACCAACGGTAGGACAGAGCTGGTTGGAAAAGACTTTGAGAGTCGTTACTGGCCGAAGGAATGCGGAAATGTGATTGCTAGGCTAGGGCCTAACTTCTGCCATGCCCTACGGGATAACTATTTAAAAGCAGGCACCTTTGGGGTTGGCTATCTTCTCCGTTGGACATACGAAAGTTATGGCACCTTATCCGTTTCCTGCAAGTTAACCTCTAACTCTACATTGTCCTCAAACATCAGTGTGTCCTAATCGATTGTCAGTCAAAGTTAAATTTCCCCAGAATGTCAGCTGTCCCTTATGTGGGATTATTAGAAATTCTCTAGCACGATACTAAAAGGTCACATAATCATCACGTCATAGTTTCAGGTACTCCACATGTTGTCATTATTCCACATTTGAAAATGACAAGAAATATATTAATTTCCTGTTAACTCTACCTAAGAACGACAACAGCATGAGCAGGACAGTAAGTGGCAGCTGCCTTTCGGCCTCGATGTGGAGCAGCGGGGAGGTGGCAAACCGGAGCACACCCCCCCGCACCCCGCCCCACTGCAGGGTAAGCTGCTGCCCGCTCTGGCTGATTGTCGAGGCATAGCAGGGCTGGTCCTGCACTGCCTCACTTTCCCATTTTTAAGAGCATCTGGAAACAGAACATTTTATAGGAAAGCTCTCGATTTTTAAATGTTGCCAACCAGTTCAAATCGCTCTAAAATACTGTGAAGGCCAACAGGATGAGGGAAAGAACGGAAGGAAAGCCAGCCTGCTGAATCTGGCCTGAGCCAGGGTCATTCGCAGTCCAAACAAAAACTTCTCATGGGAAGACTGGAGCCCAAAGAAGGGAGACATCCCCAAACCACGAGGTAAGTTTGGGTCAGATGGGACGCAGAGCCCAAGTCCTGGGAATCCAGGCAGAAGCTTTTCCCATAAGACAGAGGTATTTTCTTTGTTTCCCGTCAGGTGCTTCATGTTTCATTCACTGATCGACCAAATAGAAATGACTTGTGTATGAAAGCTTGCAGGAGTGGTAGGTCAAGTTCAAGCTAGCGTGCTATGCGCACTATCGTGTCGGTTTTGCATGTATCCTCCCCTTACTTATAATAACAACAACAGCTGCCCTTTTTTCAAGCACGAACTTTGCATCCTGCTCAAAACTCAGATCACATCATTCGGCCCTGTGGTAACCGCATGCTATGGATACCACTGTTACTTCCATCTTACAGATGAGGAAGCCGAGGCTCAGAAAGGTCAAGTCACATGCCCAAAGCCACAGCCCACAGATTTTATAGCTCCAAAGTTCATGGTCTTAACCACTGGGCTAGACTATCTTTACTCATTCACTCACTCCATCCACCAGTCAGCCAAATAGCTGCAATACGCTGGTGCCAGGTGCTGAGCAAAGAATTATGGGGGAAAACAACTTCAAGCTCCAGTCTAAAACCCTGAGGCTGAGGTTAACTGGGTTCACGTTTAACCTACATCCTATTCTTCTAATCCAAAATAACCAGTGGTTCCTGAAACACACAGGAAGTTGGGCTGTGTGATTTACACTTCAACAAAGTTGATTTAAAAATCAGAAGTAACAACTACCTCTAAATGAAAAGATTTGTGGCAATGCAAGCATAATCCTAGACCAGGCCTCTTGAAGACCAGACCTGCTGGCGGGAGGAAGACACTGGTCTTCCTTACTAGGACGAAGGGTTTGGAGGTTACCTGAGCTCAAAGGGCAGGAGGATCCTAGAGACGCGAAGAGAATGGAGCGTTAGGCAGCAAGGGCCCCTTCTATTCTGCAGAGAGACTGGAGGGATAAGACTCCCTTGGAGGTGACTACATGGGAAAAAGGAGGGATGAATAATAAAGTTATTTCAGGATCAGTGCAGCAGGCATGAGGTATAAATACACAGATGTCACTTCAAATCTCTAGGTTCTTCATTAAAAAAAGCCGTGTGGCCCTGGCTGGTGTGGCTCAGTGGATTGAGTGCTGGTCCGTGAACCAAAGGGTTGACAGTTCGATTCCCAGTCAGGGCACATGCCTGGGTTGCAGGCCAAGTCCCCAGTTGGGGGTGCGTGAGAGGCAATCACACATTGTTTCTCTCTCTCTCTTTCTCCCTCCCTTCCCCTCTATCTAAAAATAAATAAATAAAAACTTTTTTAAAAAGCCACGTGACCCTGGCTGGCTAGCTCAGTTGGTTAGAACACTGTCCCGATACCCCAAGGTACTGGGTTTGATCCCTGGTCAGGGCACACACAAGAAACAACCAATGAACACATCAATCAGCAGAACAACAAAGCGATGTTTCTCCCTCTCCCTTTCTCAAATCAATCAATAATTTTTAAAAAGATTTTATTTATTTATTTTTAGAGAGGGAAGGGAGGGAGAAAGAGAGAAACATCAATGTGCGGTTGCTGGGGGCCGTGGCCTGCAACCCAGGCATGTGCCCTGACTGGGAATCGAACCTGCAACACTTTGGTTCGCAGCCTGCGCTCAATCCACTGAGCTACGCCAGCCAGGGCAATCAATAATTTTTTTAAATAAAAAAAGCAGTGTGATGGAAAATCCCAGTTCTTCAACTTTCTAGCCTTCTACCCTTGGACCATTCATACATCTCAAGACCTCAATTTACTGACTTGCAAGTGGGTGTAATAATATCTACTTTCTCAGGCCCTTGTGAGGGAGAACTAAATGGTGGAATAGTCGTATATCAAGCACTTGGTAACTGGTACACGTTCAGTGTTTATTTCTTTCCTTTGTTTCCTTCTGGTTATAAGTGGAGTTGGCATACATTCTTTGGTTATGGGGCAGAGGACTTCAAATAACATTTTCCTTTATACAGGACAGTGGTACACCTCACAATGGTGTTCTGAGGGCACTGCAAATTCTGAAATTGCTTCTCAACTGTCAGAGAAAAATTACATTTAACTGGGTTGAATGAGATGGAAGAACATTTGCCTGGACACAAGCCCCAGTCCTGAGAAAGCTGGGCATGCACGAACAAGTCCCTTTTCTCTCTGCTTTCTGCTCCTCATCTGTAAAGTAGGGATGGTCCTCCCTGTCCACCTTATATAATTGTGGGATATGTTGAACGAACTTGAAAAGTCTGGAGGCTTTGGCCAGAAACAAATGATAAGATTTATTTAAGGGTCTTAGAATATACAAACTGGGAACAGAGCTAGGCAAAAACCAAGAAGTGTTCCATAGAAGAAAGAGAAGTTCTTACAGTAGCCCTGGCCGGGTGGCTCAGTTGGTTGGAGCGTCATCCCGTGCAAGAAGAAGTTGTGGGTTCCATCCCTCGTCGGGGGCTCACGGGAGGCAATCAACCAGTTGATGTTTCTTCCCCATGCCAATGTCTCTCTCTCTTCCTCTCTCTCTAAAATCAATAAACATATCTTTGGATGGAGATTTTTTTAAAGTTCTTATAGTAAAAAATACATTCTTGAGAATTATCAGTCCGGCATTCTTAGCCCTAGGATTGGTCCAGGACAATTATCAGCCACATGCCAGGAGGTCTGGGTATATGGGTCCTGGGGCAAGAAGGTAATCAGAGGGTTATCCAGGCGTCTGGTTTACGTCCAGATGCACGTTCAGGCAAGTTAAAGAGTTAACTGGAAGGTTAAAGAGTAAGTTACCAGGCTAGTTAGAACAAGAAGAGTCTTTCCTCCTGTCTCAACCTCCATACTATTCATTTTAGCAACTTGAAGTGGCTCCATTTTATACATTCCTTGTCCTCACTCTTTCCTCGGGTACAGGGTCGTGAAGAATCTTACAGAACAGAGCGCCCAGTTGCACTGTTGCTAACCTTCACATTACCTGTCTGCGGAATACGCCGGGGTTTCCCGCTCGGACTTCTTCCGTAGGACTATGAGCATCTCCGCGGGAATGCAGTCTGATCCTGCGTCCAGAACTCAACACAGAGAATTGCCTGGCTCAGTGACTGGCTTGCGGACTGTAGCGTCGCTCTGGTGTAACCACGTTGCATTACAATTCTTTGTAAATCAGTGGTCAAAGCCAGGGTTACCGAAAGAACCCTGAATAAAGGGATCTATCGCATACAGAAGCTATTACTCCTCGGTTCGTGGCGACAGACAAAATGTTAACATATTCTCATTTTCCTACTTACACTATGCAATTGTGGGAAGTATTTTTTCACGTTCATTGATTTAAAATCTATCTATGTTTATTTCTCCCTCAACTTTGGCTTCTCGACATTCCTTTCCGATTGGCTGCATATGATCTTAATGTGATTGGATAACGCATTTGCCCGTTATCTTTCTTCTGAGCCGATATAGGAAATGGAAAAAAAATATCCTAAATTCATCTGTTTTATTGGCTCCGGTGTTGGGCACTTCAAAAATATGATTGGTTTTTATGTCCGCCAATCACTCTACCGGAAACCAATTCTACTGCCCGAGCTCGCCCCGTTGAAGGGCGGGTCTTAGCATGGAAGAGTTTTCATTGGTTCGGAGAGCTCCAGCTCGCGACCGGAGATCCGCGCCGGCTCCGTTGCCGTGGTTGCAGGCCGTCCCTCCAGCTCGCCCGCTGACAGCGAGGCTTAGGGCGGAGGGAAGTGGGTCGGTTGGTCCGTCCGGAACGAGGCTACAGCGGCCGGGCCCGCGCGGAACTGTTGCCATGGCAGCCGCCGCCGGGGACGCGGACAACGAGCCGCGATCCGGCCACTCGAGCTCTGATGGAGAGTGCGCGGTGGCGCCGGAGCCGCTGACGGGCCCCGAGGGCCTCTTCTCCTTCGCAGACTTCGGGTCTGCGCTTGACTGCAACGCGAGCCTCCCGGGCCGGGGGTCCAGCGGGGCCCAGTCCCCGCTGCGCTACCTCCACGTCCTGTGGCAGAAGGACTCGGAGCCCCGCGATGAGCTGCTCCGTAAGATCCCCGCCGGCCGACTGAGGCGCGCCGCCAGGCCCCACCGCCGGTTCGGGCCCATGGGAAAGGAGGTGCACGGTGAGGAGCGCGCGGGAGGCGGGCCCAGCCCTCCGCCGGGATCCAGGCCGCGTCTGTCTGGAGCCCCCCGACGTCCGATCTAAGGGCCCAGAGTGACCCCTAAGTCTCCTTTCAGTGGTAACAATTACTACGTATAACTGCGAAGGACCATGAATGGAAAGAAAAAAAGTCTTCACACTTGGCCATTCCCGAATAGGAACTTTTCATGAGCGCAGATGTTTATTAATAGATGATAAAATGGGACACTGGGAATACTTTTACTGTGGGGGGTGGGGAGCAGGCTCGAGCCTGTGGCCAAGTCCTACCGACTTGTTTCAATGCGCAGAGCCGGACTGCACTCCTCTGCCTCGTTTCCGCCCGAGGCAAGCTGTATCTCACTTGTAAAATGACTACAATACCTGGGTTACAGAGATTTTGTGAGAGTTAAGTAAGCTAATGCATATATAATTATTAACCTGCTTCTGTTGTGCGCCAAACACTGTTGTGATCCTTTCTGATTCTCACAATAATAACTCACTGAGATGCAGGCACGGATCCCATTTTAGGGAAGGGAAACAGGCCCGGAGAAAATGCCTTGCTTGGATCACTGAGCCAGAACGTGGCTGTGCGAGCGTTAGTCCCAGGTCTGCAGGACCCAGGCTCCTGCTGTAACACGTCTGCTGTCCTTGCAATCTGTGGGTGACGTGGAGAGCAACGCGGGAACAATATAAGAATGGAGACTAAATTTAGAGTCCCTTCTAGTTCTGTCTGTGTGACTCCACCCACGCCTTCGTGGTGTTACAAAGATTAAGTAAGAGTTTCAGAGTAGAGTACTGTATAACCCGTCAAGTACTCTGCGAATGTGAGGAATCATTGTGTATCTGAGCCGCAAATTTTGACCGTTTTTCTGAGGAGGAAGGCCTGGCTTCCCATTAGCCTCTACTACAGAGGTAGTGCCATCACAGGAGAAAATGTTTCTGCCGAGGGATTACCAAATTTAAGTCATTTGGGAGTGGCCTGTTTTGAAGGAGAATGTAAGATTATCTGTGTGACCTGTTCGCAGAGAACTCCATGCAAACACCTCGTCTCGCCCAGCAGTAACTCGGGGCTGTCGGGATGGAGCGCAGCCTTGTTTGCAGGTGGCAGACCTGAGGCCCAGGAGTTAGTTGTCCACTAGCTTGCTCAGGCCTCCCAGCTACTACAAGTGGCAGGTTCAGGATCTGGCTCCAGTGGCCTTGGCGGATTTGCTACCGAATGGGGCTTTTGCACGAACTGTGCCACATTTCAAGTTTCTCTTTGTCCCCGGGGCCAGGGACTCTTGTATCCTGGCAACTTTCTTTCTCTTTAGATGCTACTGTGGCGGAATGGTGGGTACACTAGGAAGCCGTCCACTTTCTGCTTCACCACGGCTACTGCTGCCGTTGTTGTTTTTTAAACTGGCGCTCGTGTGGCTCAGTGGGTTGAGCACCACCTTGCAAACCGAGGGGTCGCAGGTTTGATTCCCGGTCCAGGCATGTGCCTGGGGTGCAGGCCAGGTCCCCAGTTGGGGGTGTGCGAGAGGCAGCCAGTCAGTGTTTCTCTTTCTCTCTCTTACCCTCTCTCTAAACATAAGTAAATAAAATCTTAAATAAAATAGTTTTTAAAAACGAACGGGCACTCTCTTACTCTCTTCACAGCTCTGAAGAGGCTGAGGGACTCGGCCAATGCCAATGACGTGGAAACAGGTGAGTGTGCAAAGCGGATCCGGCGCCACGGGCGGGTTAGGGGAGGGAAATCCCCGGAACCGGAACCTGGGAAGACAGTGCGTGAATTCGCTCAGTCCCACACCTCATCCCACGGGCCGTGCGCACTGCAGCGGCATCTCGCAGAAGTTATGCCTGGCTTAGGTGCTCGCTTCCCATGCTTCCCTGTCCCCATGGACTTCCTGATGTCTTAGCGTTTATCACTCTGTGGTCTGTCTCCTTGATGGTGGGGACCACGTCTCCCTTTGTATATCCCTGACGCTTGTCAGATTAGGAACTTTGGGGAGCTTCCGGGCAATGGGATTGGACCGTGGATTTTAGCTGTCAGCAGAGCCGCCGTCTGCACAGAGCAGCTGCCTTCAACAGCTCACTGAGGCTTAGCAGTAATTGGGTCACTGGTTCTCAAACTTGCTCTTTGGCAGAACACCTGGAAGGCATGGGAGGGGCTCCTTCAGGGCTCCACTCTGTTTTTGTTTTGTTTTGTTTGTCATTGCTCTCCAGCACTCACTAGGTGATAGGGCAGTGGCAGCATCAGAGGGAGGAGGACAAGGTAGAGGAAAACAGTTTTAATTTTATCCACTGACTTAATTCTTTCTGTAAATCAGGGAAAAGTGGTATACTCACTTCTGCGGCTACTGTAACAAGCTACCACAAACACAGTGGTGTAATACAACACAAATGTATTGCGATGCAGAGCCACAGGTCAGGAGGTCAGCACAGCTCGCACCAGGTTGGAGTCAAGGTGTCTGCAGGGCCGTGTTTCTTTCCGGAGGCTCTAGATGAGCCTCCGTTTCCCTGCCTTTATCCGCTTCTGGGAGGCCACCCTTCTCCACCTTCAGCAATAGTGGACTGACTTCTTCTCACACTGCCATTCGCTGGACCTCCTAGCAGGGAAAGGTTCTCTGATATTAGGGACTCATGTGATTAAATTGGGCCTGAATATCCAGGATAATGTTCCTAGCAGGAGGTCCCTAACCTTAGTCACATCTGCAAAGTCCCTTTTGGGTGTGTAGGGTAAGTATCCATAAATTCCAGGGATTAGGGTGTGGCATCCTCGGGAGCCCTTACGCTGCCTACCTCAAGGGGGCGTCATTCTGTTTTCGTGGCGGGATGCCGTGGTCAACAGAAGAAACGCGAGCATAGATGGATTGAGGGCCTTGGGATAGGCGGTCCCTTGCCCGGCAGGCGTGGAGAGGAGGCTGTTCAGCTCGGGAGCTGGGGTGTTGCGCTGTGGGCCGTGAAGTAGCGCCCTTTTCCCTGGCGTGGCGTGGCGTAGCAAGCAGGCCTGGAAACCGGAGCGCTGTTCAGCTCTTTACGTTGGTCTGTTTTCCGTGAGCGTTAATATTTTGGAATATTTGGGCAGCAACCTAGACAGCTTTTCCAGGAAAAATGATGAGTGCTCTCTTTTTACTATCTCTAGTGTGTGACCAGAGAATATTTTAACTAAACTCCCCTTCAATGGTGTTCACTTCACGGTTTTATTATCTCGACAGAAAGGAGGTACTTTTCCGTTCAGAGCCTCTAACACACCCATCTTTAAACCTAGAGGGCCGTTAGATTTACCAGGCTCTCGCAGGGCTCCGATGGCGAAACTGGCCGCGGGGTTGGCCTCTTCACTACTTTTCTTTTATGGTTGGCACTTTGTTTCTTCCGTGCACATTTATTGTTTTGTGGGTTTTTTTTTTTTTGTAGAGTTTAGCAATTACAGTGGACACAGAATTTATCCCCTGCTATTGTTAAACCATAAGTGCTGTTCTATGAATTCATAATCATTGAAAATCTTTTAAGTATGGAAATAATATATGCATTTAAAATGCTTTGGAAATTGACAAGTAAGACATCCATAATGTCAGCAAGGAATCTAATCTCTGTTAATGTTTTGGTGAATATCCTTCCAGTTCTTCCTATTCGGAAATTTTTTTTTTAATGTACAAACACATTTTTTTAAAGATTTTATTTATTTATTTTTAGAGAGGGAAGGGAGGGAGAAAGAGAGAGAGAGAAACATCAATGTGCGGTTGCTGGGGGCCGTGGCCTGCAACCCAAGCATGTGCCCTGACTGGGAATCGAACCTGCGATGCTTTGGTTTGCAGCCCGAGCTCAATCCACTGAGCTATGCCAGCCAGGTGGCACTTCACTTATAAGCTAACCGCCTGGGTATGGGGCTGTTGCCTCAAAGGCTATGCGTGTTTCGATGGCTTCTGATGGACGTCGCTACAGTGCTTTCCACAGACTGTGACTGCACAAACTGCAGAGTAGAACCAGCTGCTGTATCATTCTGTGTCTCTCTGACACAGGCTCTCTTTTGGTGACCAGACAGGTGTGAACACTGGGATGCCCCACGTTCTTACTTCCACTTCCCTCCGTGAGCCTTCGCCCGCGTTGGTTCATGCAGTCAGCCGGCCACCTTCACTGCGCAAGTCAAGTAGTGTCTGGTCCGAGGTGTTAAGATAAAACAAAACCCCGACAGTACAGTTGGAGGAGAGAACAGTAAAGCAATAGCATGTCTAAGATAAACCCCCCCGAAAACTCGAAGT